TGACCTCAGGTAATCCGCCTGCCTTGGCCTCCCAAAGTGCTAGGATTACAGGCATGAGCCACCTCGCCCCGCCAGGATTTTTTTTCTTAGTAGAGTTAAGTAATTGTGAGCAGAGAGAAAAAATGTGAAGAGAGCCCACGAGTAGTGTGACCTCACCTACTGTCTCCCTTTCTTCATCTGTAAGATGGGGAGCTGGGATCAAGGGGATCTCTTAGGTCATTTATTCATTCACTCTCTTGATTGCTTACTAGCTGAGTAACAGACATTCTGTGGTAATGAACACAGCTTTCTATAGGTTAGGCTACTTCAAAAGGAATTTCAACATATTCAGTAGATCTATTGGTCTTTTTCAGTGAGCTGCTCACCTGATCAATAAGTAGACCCTTTTCATTTCTTACTGTTATATTGTATGTGTAACTACAGAATTCCTGAAGTAAATTATTTATCAAGGGAGGCTTATTCCGAAAAATGCATTTATTTATTACCAATTAGTATGAATAATTGAACTCCATAATATTTCACTTAGCTAGTTAAGTTTGCTGAAATTATTACACGGTATCTGTACTAATTTAGTATGAATTGTAATCTCCCTTCACCCAATGTGAGTTAATAATGTATGTATATCTATTCCCAGTTACTAACTATGGCTCTGGTATCTCACAGCATGTGTGTGCCTGGTGCACAGTAAATACACAAGGTTCTTGTAGTCCAGTTATTTTGTTGTTCTTGTTTTTTGGGATTTTTTTTTTTCTATTTTTGGAGACAGAGTCTCCTTCTTGTTGCCCAGGCTGGAGTGTAGTGGCGTTGTGGCTAGATGAAATGTGTAGGTTCAGATCTACATGAGGAATTTTGGGGTTCCAAAAGCCACAGTCACAACAACTCAGAAATGTTAGGAATTACTGTGTAGTCTTGCAAGGGGCAAATACTTTTAGGAGTATTTTTATACTTTAGATGCTTTTCTATCTTTAAGAAAAGTGTAATTTATATCTCACTTTAGGAGAACATAGGTCCACATTAAATTGGAGTTCTTTAAAGTGATATTAAAGTTGAAAAATAAGAGAACAGTAACTTGAAAAACAATTTCTTACCATGTCTCACACTAAAGCATCCTTGATTTGTGTAGTTTGGAAGCCTTGCAATTCCCAGTTCTACTTTATTTTACTAAATAACCTGTTCTGGAATTAGTCAAAATGAAATAAATTCAATTCAGCAGGACCCCCAAATTTTAACTATTCAATTCACTAAACCACACTACTCAAGTAATAGTGTACAGACACAGAAAACAATGTTATTCTTTCATCTTTATGATAAACTACTTTACTGAGGTATGATTGGCATGCAACAAGCTGCACATAATTAGTATATGCAACTTGATGAGTTTGGAGATAAGAATATATCTGGGAAATCATCAGCACAATCAAGGCCATAAGCGTACCCCACACCTCCAAAGTGTTCTTCTGCCCCTTTATTTATTTATTTATTCTTTTCTTTATTCTTTTATTTCATAGCATTCGTTATAATTATTTCTCTTATAAAGAGACTCTCAGTGAAGATTTTTAAAAGAAGCTTGGACTTAAGAAATTCCTCTGTTGGCCTCTGATACTCCAATATCCCCTATTCAGCCCGAATGCTCCTTGTATGGCACAAAAATACACACTGGTGAAAATTTCTGTTGATAGATATCTGAAAGTTTTTGCCCTCCACATGAGAGTTTGTGCACAAAAGATGCCATTTTTCATATAGTAAACTCTAGTCAAATCCCAGTGATATAATGTACTTAGCTAAAATTGTCAACATTTACTCTGTATTCTGGAATCATTTTTTGCTAGGTAAATCAAATCAATATAGAAATAACTCTACTGGATGCCAACACTTTGAATTTCTGGCATATATGTATAGGAAACTTTAGCTCTTTGGTATCTCTTGATGATGCAATTTATTTTATTAAGCTGCTTTCATATTCTGCTTGCTTTTGCCTCATGCTTCAGCTAAATATATTTTGAATATACTTTAATGAAAGAATAGAAAAACAGTTTTTGAGGCTTTGAAGCAATGGGGTTTTCCAAACCCAAAAGTATGGCAATAAATTATCATCTCCTGGATAATCTTATTTATGAATCCAAAAGCACATGTTTGTATGATTACATGCAGGCATATTCATTTTGTGGTTATGCAACTTCAACATTCATACTTAAATTCCAGAATTAATAATTTTCCGTTGTTTCCCACACAACATAGGCTTTAGAATGTCAAAACTCTAACTGTTGCCATTCATTTATATGCTGTATTGTCCAGTGCTTTAGTTCTATCACTTTCCACTGTAAATGAGACATTATATTATATACCCAATACTTTTTTAGATTGACCTTATATTAACTAATATCTTAGTTTATCTTCCTAACTTACAACCCAGATCATCCATTTTGGATCATGTAAGTTCTGCCTCCTATATATGCTTTAAAACTTCCTTCAGGCCAGGCACAGTGGCTCATGCCTGTAATCCCATCACTTTGAGAGGCCAAGGTAGCCAGATCACGAGGTCAGGAGTTCAAGACCAGCATGGTCAAGATGATGAAACCCCAACTCTATTAAAAATACAAAAAAAGTAGCTGGGCATGGTGTTGGGCACCTGCAATCCCAGCTACTCGGGAGGCTGAGGCAGGAGAATCGCTTGAACCCAGGAGGCAGAGGTTGCGGTAAGCCAAGATCGCACCACTGCACTCCAGGCCAGGCAACAGTGCGAGAATCCATCTCAAAACAAACAACAACAACAACAACAAACAAAAACAACTTCCTTCAGCGAAGATGCCTAGAAATAAACTCTCTCAGTTTTGGCAGTATGAAAATACCTATAATCTCTCATTTTTAAAAGATAGTTTTGCTGAGTATAGAATTCTAGACTGACAGGTAATTTCTCTTGACACATTGAAGGTTTTGGCTTCAGGTGTCTATTGTTGCTGTTGAGGAGTAGGTCTTCAGTCTAATGACTATTCTTTGTACATGATCTGTCTTTATTTCCAGCTACTTCTGAGGAATTTCTCCTCCCTTTGGTGTTATGTGTAATGTGTATATAAGTGAGGTTTCTTGTCATTTGCCTGCTTAGAATTCACTGAACTTGCTGCATCTTAGAATTGGTATCTTTCTATAATTCTGAGGAATACTCAGCCAATATTTCTTCTAATATTGCCTCCTCCCCATCATCTCTTTTATTTCTATCTATAATTCTGATTATCTCCTCCAAGCTCTTTTATTTTTCTTTTATGTTTTCAAATCCTTTGTTTTCCTGGCTGCATCTCATTTATCTTCTGGATGTATTATCGTTATAGCTAATATGTAATTTAACTTATCCATTTAAATTTTCATTTAATTATTACATTTTGATTATTGGACGTTCTGTTTGGTTCTTTTCAGATGTATACACATGCATGTATACATCATTTTTTAGTTTCTTGCTCCTTACTCTTGTACTCAATCATCTTGTTTATGCTTTTTAACCTGTTAAACAGTTATTTTATAGCCTGTATCTGATCATTTCAATGACTTTCAGGATCTTATTCTGGTGCCTGTTGTTTCTATTGGTTTTCATTCATGCTGCCTTATTTCCTGTATAATTTATTTTATTGTTTTACTATGAAATACTTATTTCCCCATGAGAATTATATCAGGCATGGATTGATATATCAGGCATGGATATCATTCTTCCACAGATAATCTGCATTTACTTCTACCAGTTATCTGGAACCATTTTCCAGTCAGAACTATTTAACATTAAACACTGCTTGGCGATTCTCAAACCATACTGATGGTGTGAATATGGGCAAGGCCTGTGTGGGGGCCTGACTGTATTTAAAAGGGGAAATGTTTTCCTCATCCACCCAGAGTCAAGGTTGAGGAAGGCAAGTTTTTTTGCCATCTTCTTCTGTACATCAAGTTTATTTAATTTTTTTCTTTCTTACATTTGAGGATGATCCCTTTGAAGTATACCAGCCCTATGTGGGATCCCATATTAAATACTCCCATAAAAGCATTAAATTCAAACCTGCATGCAACCATTAAATCAGATGCTCCAGGTCTTCCAGGGTTTGGGAAAAACACTCAGGGTCAAATCCTGCTTTGGTACTCCCTAACCTCCTGAGGTTCTAAACTGCTTCTTTGTTTAGGAGTCTCAATAATTCTTTTTTTCATGCCAGCTCAGAAACCTATTTCAAAGGACTTTCTATATTTGCCCAGTTTTTCAGTTGTTTCCAGCTAGAAATTGAAGTTTTTATATAATTACATTGAGACCTAAATGAGTATCTATATATATGGTTACATACATATTTATTACTGCATGCATTTACAGTATTTCATTTATATAGACTTATCATAACTGTATTTCCAGTTGCATCTGGTAACACCTTGATATTTGCTGTACACTCAAATTTTCAACTATTCTTCAGGAATAGTTGTCCTGCCTTTTGCTGTGTTATTTAAAAGATAAACATTACATTTGGTATGCAGTTGTTATAGCTATAAATAAACATAATTCACTATTACCTTACGTCAAAATTCTCATTACATTATGTAGAACTGTAGAATCTTTCACATTCTCTCAAAATAATAGGGTCACAGAAATAATATGTGCATCTAGTTAATATAAAGAGATATGAAAAATATTAGAAACATTTGAACTGTTATACACATGTAAAGGGTGGTGAAATATAAACATGATTTCCTTTGAGCAAAAAACTTGGTCTGGGAAAAGTCATGCTTGTGCAGCATTTTAGAAAATCTAATAATTTCAAAATGAATTATAATTTCAAGAAAGCCTTTAAAAATATAAACTCTTTGTCTAATGAAGGCTCTTTTGATAAAGCAAATGATCACCCCTTCTTAAAAAAATCTGATTTTATATGAGACATTTTTGTCACATAACTACACATATAATTGCAATCAGTAAAGATAACCAGCCTCAGCCAGTCCTGCCTTGTCTCCCTAACTGATGTCCTTTCTTCTTCCAGTATGTGCGAGTATCTTTTGATACAAAACCTGATCTCCTCTTACACCTGATGACCAAGGAATGGCAGTTGGAGCTTCCCAAGCTTCTCATCTCTGTCCATGGGGGCCTGCAGAACTTTGAACTCCAGCCAAAACTAAAGCAAGTCTTTGGGAAAGGGCTCATAAAAGCAGCTATGACAACTGGAGCGTGGATATTCACTGGAGGGGTTAACACAGGTAATTGCAAGTGGAACAGAGAAAGTCAACATAGGCCATGGGAATGTTGTGCCTGATATAATTTTCTGCTAAGGTTAATTATCTCTATATCACCCCACTTCATCCCTACCCATGGGTCCATAGTTGCTAGTTATCTCTCCCTCCTTTATCTAAATGAGAACTGTAAAGTTATTTCTTAACCAAGAAGAATTACTTACACATAAGAAATGGGTTGGGATATTTAATAGTTGACTATACAGAATTCATAAACACAACTAATGGAAGTTCACAGGGTATTTTTAAATAGCTTAAGTTGCCAGTAATTCTTTAAGGAATGACTTCTACTTTAAATTGAAAGCTCTACCTCTGTCCTTTACACAATTTCAAGTTTGGTGCCAAATAGCTTTAATTTTTGCAAAACGACATTTCCCTCTGGGACATAAAGGCAAAATCTAGGGCATTATGTGTTTATTTTTTAAAATATTTTATTAACTCCTCACTGTGCCAATAGAAGACACACCTCATTCTGAATTCCAAAGAATTTTTCCTTCGTGCAATCTATATTGTGCTATAGATGCATTCTTAAATCAGTTCTTACCAGCCCACCTATAGTTAAGTGCTTATTTGCAGAACATTTTTGATGTGCATCAGGTAATGGAATGGATGCCTGTAAATGTTTTTGGCATATTCTGTGGGTCTGAAGTCTGAGGTGCCAATTGGAAATGTAGAGGTAATGTTGCAATAAGTTAAGGTAAACTTATTACAATCCCCAAAGTCTGTACATGTGGATACATTCGTAGTTAATGGAATATTCTAAACTCTGGTCCAGTTAGTTTTAAATAACATGTTATCTTGGGCCAGGTATGGTGGCTCATGCCTGTAATCCCAGCTCTTTGGGAGGCCAAGGAGGGTAGATCACCTGAGGTCAGGAGTTCAAGACCAGCCTGGCCAACATGGTGAAACCCTATCTCTACTAAGAATGCAAAAATTAGCCCGGCATGGTGGTGGGGGCCTGTAGTCCCAGCTACTCAGGAGGCTGAACCAGGAGAACTGCTTGAACCTGGGAGGTAGAGGTTGCAGTGAGCTGAGATCATGTCACTGCACTCCAGCCCGGGCAACAAGGGCAAAACTGTGTCTCAAAAAATAAAAATAACATGTTATCTTAATGTTGTTTAATTTTGCATTTGTAGTATGGATGCTGTTTGAGTAAGACCTACACTGCGAATTCTCTTAAATACCTAGAATTTGTGAACATTCTGCACACAGCTACATAAAGATATTTCAGCGATGAAGTCTGCAGATTGCTCATGTTCAATGTTATTATGTGAAATTCTGACGCAGCCCATACACTGACATGATCTTAGAATGACCTGCTTAGCTCTTTACTGTTTATCCTGTGGTAATCAAATATCTACAGAGCAATTTTTCTTTCAATGACTGTTCAGGTTTTGGGTTCCATGTTTCCCTCTCAACTAAGCAAGCCTCATTTGCCTGTGATTATTGTCTATTGCATTCCTGTCACATAGAGACCAACTCAATGGATTCTACAGGTTCAAAAGAAAATCTTACCAATGCTCTATTTCTAAGAACTTGGAATACTATTCATTGTTTTTATTCTTTCATAAAATGCATTCAATATCAAAAGAAGAATTTATAGTCTACATACTACAAACCCAAGAGTTCATCTCTGCCTCACTCCAGGCTTAGTGTTCAATCCAATACCCAAAGTGAGGTTCTGATGATAAAGTGTTAAAGTTGGGTAAGAGGTATTGATAGAATTGTGCAGACAGTTGAGCATACCATAAAGTTAAACTTCTTGTCCAAGCCTGGCCCTAAAAGGAGTTTTGTATTGGAAACAACTGGAAACAATTTAATATTAATATTCACAGTCTTCTTTTGGGAAGTTTTGTTTTGCTGTTTTTTGGTTCGGGTTTTTGTTTTTTTTTTTTTGTTTACCAGTGCTCTCAGAAGATTCATAGATAAGATAATAAGTGAAAATGATATTCTTTCCAACACCCCTGAATAGCTCAACATGGATTAATGACCATTTATACTGTTTTGTTATTTGCTTTTTAAACAGTGATTCTTCCTGTTTCATCTTATGAACATTTCAGTATTGGGCTACTTAAATACACATGTCTTTTCCCATGATTAAATTGCCTGGTGTGTTTCATGTGTTTAGTTAGTTGAGTGCACAGGGTCTGAGCCCTTCCTCTAGGCTAGCCCCTGAGGTGTAGGAAGGCGAATAAGGCACTGACCCTCCAACTTTCCTCTCAAAGCGTTTGACTGTTAGAAGAGACATCTCCACATGTAATTATGAATCACTGCAGAACATGTTAAGTGACATACTGAGCTATTCAAAATTTACAAACTGCAATATGTTCAAATGGAGAAGAAATCAAATCCAACTCAACATTCATATAGGAAATGGCACTAGGTATACATTTTTCCTGGAGAAATGACTGGAACTTTGATAAGCAGAAACATCTTTTCTTAGAGGATATATCTTATATCTTCCTATAAAAATGCTCATTTGAGAGGGAGGTTAAGAGAATTAGAAATTGTATCTTCTTTAAATGGTTTTTAAAAAGGTAAGAGTTATGCTGCCTACCATCTTGTAAACTGAATTTTCTCACCCTTAACTATGATGGGGTGGGTCATTTTAACAGAAGAGGAAAATAATTAGAATGATGAAGATTAAAAGGTGTGTCTATATATTTTAACACAAATTTTCCACAGAATAATCCAACACTGTCTTTATGAGTAGGTTCTCATAAAGGTTAACACAATCTCAAACTAAATAATTCATGTCTTTAAATGATTTTAACTCATATACAGACTGTGGTGTAGATTTAACATACCATTATACATGGTACTTTTAACATGACACAGTCAAGCTGTTGGTTCCTAATCATACTAACAAATTATTATGCTTATAAGAAAAAGTTTCTAAGTTTAAGAAGTTGTATTTATTCTTTTTATAGACATTGGATGCTTTTTGTTTTTTCATATAAATTGGAGTAAGAAATGCAATGCTAGAATTCATATACAAATCCGGCCAATGCATTTGGCATTACAGCCACGAGTTTATGTTTCCTCCTAAATACAAGTAGTTTGTACAGACATGTGTCAAAATTTTATATTCAATTTATTTAACCTCAGGAGAAACCATTACCACAATTTTCTTTAGAATGATGGGAAGGTATTTGCTTTAAAAGACAAAATTAATGCTTCTCTTTTTTTTTTTTTTTTTTTTTTTTTTTTTTTTTTTTTTTTTTTAGGTGTTATTCGTCATGTTGGAGACGCCTTGAAGGATCATGCATCTAAGTCTCGAGGAAAGATATGCACCATAGGTATTGCCCCCTGGGGAATTGTGGAAAACCAGGAGGACCTCATTGGAAGAGATGTAAGTACTGAGTGCTGTCCTTTTCCACGACTTCTCCTAGAGGTGATATGAGAAAAGTATAACAAAATTAGTATTCAAAATGTGCATATTATAGTACTCTTTTAGTCCCCACTCACTAAAATGAAACTTATGTTAAGGAATAGTTTCTTGGGCAAATACTTATTTTCTAAAATCTCTATGCAAACTCCAGGTCAATTCTTATGATCAAGAAAGGTCCAAAGGAAGACTTACCACCTACCCCCTCTCTGCTTAAATCAAGCAGTGGTCTTTCTTCACCCATCAAATCCTGCCATTACTCTTGGTATAGTGATATTAACATTCATTAACACCACTTAATATATGGCAACATGAACTCATTGACCGATATACTAAACACAGACTCTCCGCACCCCAGGGCTCTAGCACCTTTATAATTTGAGTATCTTTCACCTAGCTCCTGAGAGGTGCAGAGAGAGATTCTTTTCGTTTCAAAGTACCATGAGGTCTATCTGAGCCACAAAAAAAAAATTTTTAAGTGGCTAAGAATTAACTGGTCTTAAACTTCTTCTTCTATTATGATGTAATACAATGCAGCCGTCTTATTTTAATACAACAAAATATATGCAATTTTTTAAAATGCAATGCAAAGTACGTTGAATTTAAAAAAAAAAAAAGTCATCCTAGGGCTCACTGTCCTGCCTTTCGCAAATCTTAAAATGTGTTGTATGAGTTACCAGTGGCAATGCAGGCATTTGAAAAAGGAGGTGTAGGATCCATTTGACCCTGAGCAGAGGTATTTCACCAGGGGCTTGCATTTCTCCTGAAAATTTACCTAAATGGGACAGACTGTGATGCATTTGAGCGGCAGACACTTTCCTCTCAGTTTTAAGTAAAACATATATTTCAAAAAAACTAAATGTCATGAAACACAAGCTGCAAACAAACTCCTTTGGCCTTAAAAAATATCTTTATGGGGTATAAATGCAGATGTTTTATGTACATATATTGCATAGTGACTAAGTCTAGGCTTTTAGTGTACCCATCATCTGAACAGTGAACATTGTACCCAACAGGTGATTTTTCAGCCCTCACCCCTTCCACCTTTCGTAGTGTCCAATGTCCATATTCCACTCTGTATGTCCATGTGTGCCTAGTATGTAGCCCCCACTTACAAGTGAGGACATGCAGTATTTGACTTTGTTTCTGAGTTATTTTACTTAGGAAAATGGACTCCAGTTCCATCCATGTTGCTGCAAAAGACATGATTTCATTCTCTGTTATGACTGGGCAGTATCCCACTATATATATCTGTATGTGTGTGTATATATATAGTATGATACATATATATATATAGTGGGATATACATATATATACACACACATCCAATCCTCCACTGATGGACACTTAGGTTGATTCCGTAATTTTGCTGTTGTTGATTGTGCTGCAATAAACATGTAAGTGCAGGTGTCTTTTTTATATAATGATTTATTTTCCTTAATTAAAAAAACACTTTAAATCCATTAGAACCTTTATTTTAAGTGATAACAAGTGTCCACATCAATGATATCAGATTGCACATATAAATGCTCATTTATCCAGGATACATAGGTCAAGGGATGAGATAATATTCTCTTAATTAAAATTTATTGGCTGTTTCATATTACATTTACAAATTGAATATCTCAGCAACAATTTCCAAAGTGTTACATAGGCAGACCAGACTGGAAAAGTAAGTGTTACTAATTTCTTCAAAGTATCTGAGGCTAGTCTTTCATGCAATATATTTGAGGTAATTCTTAGATTCCAAATTGGCTTTTAATTGTATGTTGATTTTGCACTGGAACAAATGTATGTCTTAAAGAATTAGAATATGCCAAAATGCTTTCAACAGCAAAATCATTTAATAATGTATATTAATACATTAATTAATTATTAAAAACATGTTGATTCAAAAGTCATTTTGAAATATTCATAGCTTCAGGATTTCTATTGTAAACTCAAATTATTATTTTTCAGTTTGAAGGCGGACACTATTTTGAACTTCCTCATTCAGATGAACTAGGAATAAATGGCAGTTGATTATTTCTTTATGCAAGATAGAGTAACTAAATAATTTCCTTAGTTGCCTAAGCATTTGCAGAGAATGCTGGCCTACTGACTCTTTGTATTATTTTGTTTATTCATATTATGAATTTTATAAGATTGCAGAAAGACAGTACTTCTATTACATTTACTTACCTTGTTGAATTGGAAGAATCACTTCTGATTCTTCTACCTCCCATTCCAGCTTTTTCTCTGACTTTACCTTCTCCTTTCACTCCTCTTTTTTCTTCTTCTTTTGTTTCTCCTCATTGCTTCTTCCCAGTTGTATGCAAGTAGAAACTTACGATTTCCAATGGAACTTATTGACATTGTCTGCCTTCCCAACTGAAAATAGTCTTGATGCTAGCATAGAGGGCAGAAAAATGTTCAGTAAATATGTGCATCCATCATCCCTGTTCCTGAGGGTCTCATAAAGGCAAACCACGACTCACAAAGAACCAGGTGGACCATGGGAGAGACTATTGCAAAAAGGAAATGGAAGTGGCAGGTTATAAAAAACACAGGAAAGACAATTGTATTTTACTTTTTCAGTAAATCTTTCACAGGGATCTATTGAATTTTGACCACTCTGTTACTTTCTTCCCTTAAAACTGGGGAACTAGAATATACCTAGGATTTCTCAGGCTCTTGTGTGATAATAGAGTTTGTTTTTCAACTTATAAATTATCTGGAGTGAAAGTACTATTTTTAATGTACAAGATTTATGACATAGCTTGAGATAAATTTTTATACATGTTCACTATTCCAATATGATAGCTAAAAGGTAATATGATGCTAGGTTGCCATTAAAAGAGGTGTTTGAATGAAATGATGGTGGTCACTAGTGAAGATTCCCCTCAAAATTATCAAATTAGAAATATTATCTGGTAAGCTTCTTACACAGTCACAACTCTTCCCAGCTAGCTTAATGTACCGCCATCCGTCCTTTTTCTTTCATTTTATATAATCAAAATCACATGTAATAAACATCAAAAAATAAACCTTTTAGCATCAGACATCAGATAGCAGAGAAAAAAATACAATGTATTATTAAAAATCTTTACCACTTCAGAATTCTATCAAAATGCAATCATTCGAAACAATAGAATAGCTGCATCTTTGGTCAAGTCTGTTTATACTCCAGAATAATATTGAAGAGGTACAAAATAAATGTCAAGGGAAATCTGGGAAATGTATTGGAAATAAATCCAAAGATAAAAGAAAGGCTCCATTTCTTATGCCTGATGTTTTATTGCAGTAGATTTATTTCCAAACTAATGGAAAATATAAAGTATTTTATTTTTGTGGGGTTGGCTCCAGACGAGAAGAAGCTTCACTTTTAGAAGCTGAACATTCAAGTACTACTAGAATTATTTTATTTATTGATAGAAGTAGTGAGCACAGCAATTGCTATTCATCTTAATCCCTTTAGGATGGCAATAGCAAGGCAAATACTAGTCCTAAAGATAAAGAAGAAAACTTACTTGTCCTTGAGTGTGCTTCTAGATGTTCTGAAACAGTCACCTCCCTTCAGGTCTCATCTCACAGCTGGGCTTCAAGTTACTTAAGTGCACAGCATTTGTCTTTGGATTCTCAGAACCCAACTTAGAGCCTCACACTTAGTAGGTGCTCAGTAAATATTGATGGAGATTGGGCATGGTGAAATTCAAGCTACAGGGAAAATAAATGTCATGGAACAGATAATGATAAATCTTACCTACTTCACGTTTTTATCATGACTTCATCTCTAATCCTATCCCCAAGCTGCATCACATGATTGTGACTACAGTGGGGACATTTTTAAACCAAGCATCTGGATGTAAAACCATTTTCTTAGATAGCAACTCAAGGTGGAAGGTGGAAGGTGAGGGAGCAGCCTATTCGGTGTGGAGGTAAAACAGTGTGGGATGGAAATAGGCTTTTCTCTAAAGCCTTTGAAAGATGTGTGATCTACCCAACTGAGACAGCACTAGCCTTGATGTTTTAAATGTAAATATTATCCACTCTGTTTAATCAAGCCCTTCTTTTCTCAATTAATAGATCAAACAACAGACTTTGGTGAGGAATAAGGCTATGAATACTGAGATGGTAATCATTTTTTCCCCTGCCACTTGGGCCTGAAAACATATACTGTTTCAGTTATTGCGGTTGACTCCACCTCTGTGGTTTCTCCATATTATTTCTATCATCCCTCTCCTCTATTACTATCCATAATCCTACACTTCATCAAATTTAGCTCAAGGCTCACTTCCACCAGGACACCTTTCCTGACTAACTTCGCCCTTCACGTCATATCCCTGATTATAATGTTCCCACAGCTGTCTTCTTCCTCCCCAACTGTCTTAGTCTTTTCAGATTTCTGTAACAAAATGCCACAGAGCAGGGGGCTTATAAACAATAGACATTTATTTTTCCACAATTCAGGAGGCTGGACAGCTCCTTCCTGGTGTGTCTTCACATGGTGGAAAGAGATAGGGATCTCTCTGGGGTCCCTTTTATAAGGCCCTAATCCCATTCATAGGGCCCCACCCTCATGACCTGATCACCTCCAAAGATCCCCTCTCCTCACTATCACCTTGGAAGTTTGAATTTCAACATATAAATTTGGGGGAAGAAGGGACATAAACATTCAGTGCATTGCACCAACTTAATTAAAAACTCCCCAAAATGAGGACTGAATTATTTCTTGTTAACCCTTAATGTCATAGTTTGTATGAACATGACACATTGACTTGCCACTTAAACTCTGTAAGATTTTGTTTCATCTCTATAAAAATACTTGCTCTGCCTGTCTTCACACAATTTCTATGAGCATAATCATAATAATAGTAATTATAATTTATTGAGCTCTTATTTGACTGTGCTCTGTGATTGCATATATTAGCTTTACAACGTATGTATTATACCCCCTTTATAGTTGAGTAAACAAGGATCAAAAC